AAAAAAAAAAAAAAAAGAAGAAGAAGAAGAAATATATGTTTACAGATGTGTAGAAATATCACCATATATAAAATATACTAACATCATCAAAGAGTGGTTAAAAGTTTTCCTACTCTAATTTGAGACATCCACCAGGCATGGTGGCTCAAACCTGTAATCCCAGCACTTTGGGAGGCCGGGGTAGGCAGATCCCTAGAGCTCAGTCAGCAGCTTGAGAACAGCCTTGGCAACATAGCAAGACTGCATCTCTACTAAAAATTTAAAAAATCAGCCAGGCATGGTGGCATGCACCTGTAGTACCAGCTACTCAGGAGGCTGAAGTGGGAGGATGGCTTGAGGCTGGGAGGTTGAGATTGTCATGAGTCAGGATCACACCACTCACTCCAGCCTGGGCAAGAAAGCAAAAGTCTGTCTCTAAAAAAAAAAAAAAAAAAAAAATAGGCTGGGCATGGTGGCTTTGGGAGGCTGGGCAGGCAGATCATGAGGTCCAGAGATCGAGACCATCCTGGCCAACATGGTGAAACCCCGTCTCCACTAGAAATACAAAAAAATTAGCCAATGTGGTGGCGTGCACCTGTAGTCCCAGCTACTTGGGAGGCTGAGGCAGGAGAATCACTTGAACGTAGGATGCAGAGGCTGCAGTGAGCCAAGATCATGCCACCGCACTGCAGCCTGGGTGACAGAGTGAGACTCCATCTCAAAAAAGTAAAAAAAAATTTTAAAAAGAAAAGAAAAAAAGAAATATCCTTGTCCTTCAATACAATGAGACACACACTTTATAGGTCAACGGGAAAGGAAGTCTGTGAAGACTTTCAGATGCAACAAGACTTTGGGGGCCGGGCGCGGTGGCTCACGCCTGTAATCCCAGCACTTTGGGAGGCCAAGGCGGGTGGATCACGAGGTCAAGAGATCGAGACCATCCTGGTCAACATGGTGAAACCCCGTCTCTACTAAAAATACAAAAAATTAGCTGGGCATGGTGGCGCGTGCCTGTAATCCCAGCTACTCAGGAGGCTGAGGCAGGAGAATTGCCTGAACCCAGGAGGCGGAGGTTGCGGTGAGCCGAGATCGCGCCATTGCACTCCAGTCTGAGTAACAAGAGTGAAACTCCGTCTCAAAAAAAAAAAAAAAAAAAAGACTTTGACTCCTGACTTTCATTATAGAATCAGCTTGTGGGGGGGGTATCAAATGACAAAATAGAATTTCAGAAACTAAATTGGTCAAGATGTGCAGAAACCTGATTCACATGGCCTAGATACTTCCCAGAGTTCTTGCACGTATAAGACGCACAGCTATCAAAGAGACTTTCTCATCTTGAAATATGAATGGGTTGGCCCAGGAGATGTCCCTCTACACTCCCAAGGGCACCCACTTAAAAGAAGTAATACATTAAATGACCTCCTACTAAATTAGTACAAAGCGTCTATAAAAAGCGTGTCCAGGCCTTATTTTCACATATCCTACCGTGGCAGATGCTGTTGGTGCTTCACCTATCCCTTGGATCCCTTTCAGCAATTCTGTCCTGTTATCCTTGTAGCTTCTGTGACCTTTGTTTCCAGTGGCTTGGACCTGAGCACACCACACCTGGTCTACTGGGGTTGCTTTGCATGCCAGCACTCAGCGGGAGCGAGAATGGGCTGAGAATGTGTGTGTCCTTCCTCCCTGTGTTCATAACCACTGACTGTTACAGGAAAGCCTGCCCATTCACTGATGTCAGCCCAGTGCCCTCATTTGCAATGGGACACTCTAAAGTATAATTTCTCCTTCAGAATTCACCTCTGCATCAGGCTGAGGCGGGGACATGGCCAACGTCGTCGCCTTGCTTGGCGACTTCCTCTTCCTTTTCTTTTCCGCATTCCTTTATTTGATTCTCCTGGGAGCACTTCCTTAATAAATCCTTTGGGATACACATCAAAGTTCACCAGAAGAAAGACTTGGTTGAAACATTGCTAATAGGGGCCACTGGCCTTGCATCCATGACTCCAAAAAGACTTCTCCAATATAGGCCTGGAGGGAGTGAAGAGATAACAGCTCTGCCCTTGAGAGAAAAGCAGGAGCTGCCAGGGAAACAGGCATTGCGATCATTTGTGCTTCATGAGGGGCAGCCACCAGGGGCGTTGGTTGTGATTCTGTTCTTCCTGCTATGGAATGGTCCTGGATCTCTGTTTTAACTTCCTCTTCAGTTGAAGGGATTGGTAATCCCAAAACAAAGATATTTCATCCATCCAAACAAGTTTGTAAAAATACACTGCCTCCTGAAGTCCTGGGCACTCACTTGGCTATAACTATAATTTTCTCATTCATCATCTCACCAGACTAAGAAAACAATGCTATTCTTTGACACAGCAACCTGCTAAGAACTGGTATGTCTTTTCTTGTCAGCTATGCTGACATGGGACTCAGAGTTACTGAAGTCAAAACATGAAATATAGTTAATTTCAGATGAGCAAAAGCTGAGAGAATTCACTTTTGTCAGACCTACACTAAAATAAATGCTCAAGCCTTCATCTGTTGATCAGGCTGAAAGGCAAAGATACCCAGTGAGGGCACTCCTTGGTATTTACCCAAAGGAGTTGAAAACTTATGTCCACATAAAACCCGTCACAGATATTTATAGCAGCTTTATTCATATAGCTGCCAAAACTTGGAAGCAACCAAGATGTCTTTCAGTAGGTGAATGGATAAATAAGTTGTGATACATTCTACAGAAAGGAATGAAGAACATCTTATATGGACTAATATAAAAGCCTATATTTTTTAAGTTTTAAAAATAATTTTTTAAACAACTATTTCAAACAAAAACAATAATAATAAAAGATTTAAAACATGTAAGGGCAGGCACAGTGGCTCACGCCTGTAATCCTAACCCTTTGGGAGACTGAGGAGAAGAATCACTTGAGCCTAGGAAGTTGAGACTAGCCTGGACAACATGGTTAGATTCCCTCTCTGCAAAAAATGCAAATAATTAGACCGGCATGGTGGTGTTCGCCTATAGCCTCAGCTTCCCAGGAGGCTGAGGTGGGAGAATCACCTGAGCCTGTGAAGTTGAGGCTGCTGTGAGCTGTGATTGCACTGTTGCACACCAGCCTAAGCAATAAGTGAAACTATCTCAAAAACAAATGAAATAAGGCCGGGCGCGGTGGCTCACGCCTGTAATCCCAGCACTTTGGGAGGCCGAGGCGGGTGGATCACGAGGTCAAGAGATCGAGACCATCCTGGTCAACATGGTGAAACCCCGTCTCTACTAAAACTACAAAAAATCAGCTGGGCATGGTGGCACGTGCCTGTAATCCCAGCTACTTAGGAGGCTGAGGCAGGAGAATTGCCCGAACCCAGGACATGGAGGTTGCGGTGAGCCGAGTTTGCGCCATTGCACTCCAGCCTGGGTAACAAGAGTGAAACTCCGTCTCAAAAAAAAAAGAAAAGAATGCATACTGTAATCATCTAGAGCTAAACTGAAAATATTATATAAAGAGGTAGAGCTAGAAAGAAATAGAGGAAATGGACTAATAAAAATATTTGATTAATTGAAGGCAGGCAAGGAGGAACAGAATGAAAACAGGTGGCACAAATAGAAAACAAATAGCAAGATAGTAGATTTGAACACAGTTTTAGCAATCATTACATTAAATATAAATGGACTAAACAATTAAAAGGCAGAGATTGGCTGGGCACAATGCTCATGCCTATAATCCCAGCACTTTGGGAGGCCAAGGTGGGCAGATCACAAGGTCAGGAGACCGAGACCATCCTGGCCAACATGGTGAAACCCATCTCTTAAAAATAAAAAAAAATTGCAAGATGTGGCAGTGGGCGCCTGTAGTCCCAGCTACTTGGGAGGCTGAGGCAGGAGAATCGTTTGAATGCGGGAGGTGGAGGTTGCAGTGAGCTGAGAACGCTCTGCTGCACTCCAGCCTGGCGACAGAGCAAGACTCCATCTCTAAATAAATAAATAAATAAATAAATAAAGGCAAAGATTATCAAACTGAATAAAAAATGACCCAAATCTATGCTGGATTTTGTTTTGTTTTGTTTTAGCTTTGGGAATTTTTTTTTTTTTTTTTTCTGAAACATGGTCACACTCTGTGGCCCAGGCTAGAGTACAGTGGCACGATCACAGCTCACTTCAACCTCTGCTTCCTGGGTTTAAGTGATCCTCCTGTCTCAGCCTCCCAAGTAGCTGGGATGACAGTCATGCACCACCTCATCTGGCTAATTTTTGTATTTTTTTTTGTAGAGGTAGGGTTTCACCATGTCACCCAGACTGGTCTCAAACTCCTGGACTCAAGTGATCTGTCTGCCTTGGCCTCCCGAAGTGCTGGGATTACAGGCATGAGCCACCACACCTAGCTATGCTGTCTTAAGAGACACACTTTGAATATATAGAGACCAAAAAAGTGAAAGTAAAAGAATGGGGAAATATATATTATACAGATACAATACAAATAAGAAGACAAATAAGAACAAACAAGAATAAGAAGAGTAGGCCGGGCGCGGTGGCTCACGCCTGTCATCCCAGCACTTTGGGAGGCCGAGGCGGGTGGATCACGAGGTCAAGAGATCGAGACCATCCTGGTCAACATGGTGAAACCCCGTCTCTACTAAAACTACAAAAAATTAGCTGGGCATGGTGGCGCGTGCCTGTAGTCCCAGCTACTCAGGAGGCTGAGGCAGGAGAATTGCCTGAACCCAGGAGGCGGAGGTTGCGGTGAGCCGAGATCGCGCCATTGCACTCCAGCCTGGGTAACAAGAGCGAAACTCCGTCTCAAAAAAAAAAAAAAAAGAAAGAAAGAAAAAGAAATTTTTTTATTGTGTCTGTAGTGAACATGTGCAGACTTTTTTTTCCTTTGTCATTGTTCCCTAAACAATGCAATGTGACAACTATTTATATAGCCTTTATACTTTATTAGGTATTATAAATAATCTAGAGATGATTTAATGTTCTGTATATGGGAAAATGTGCATAGGTTGTATGCAAATACTACTCCATTTTTTATCAGGGACTTGCACATCCATGGATTTCGGTATCGGAGGGAGGTCCTGGAACCCATCCACTACGGATATCCAGGGACGACTGTATATCAAAATAAAAATTTAAACAAGGTGGGTGAAATGTGCAAAATGATACTATTGTGGGCCTTATATTTTGGTCAAGAGAGATAGTCTTTTTCTGCTGAAATGAAGACAGCAGTGGGAGAGGTGTGGAAAGGAATAGAAGTTATGGTTGAAGGAATGAGAGGACTGAGTCAGTCCTCAGATGGAACATGACAATGGCCTTGACCAATTAGGCTTCCGTGCACTGCCCTCCTGACCTGGATGCCTACATACGCTGCGTGGTGTCTTTGTCATATGGAGTTTTCTGAGCTACATCAGGTTTCCAAGCTAGTTTTCATTCTCTTGGTGTTTCTTATAATCAACACTTAAGCTCCTCTTACAGATCTAAGCTAAACACCACGTAAAGCCAAGTTTTTTTTTTTTTTTTTTTTTTTTTTTCTACAGTGTTATGGAGAAAGAGGATTAAGTTTTATAGGGGGAGAAGACAGGCGTTTAAATTTAGACCTCATGGATGAAAGCAAGCCTCACGCTGCATCTGAATCAGAAACAAGGCAGAGTCATTTCTTTATTCTAAAAGCCAACGGCTGCTCAGAGACAAGCAGATTGAACCACTTCCTCCCTGCGCAGAAATTCTCAGGGTATACACACGCACACATTTACATACGCATATGGTTAGAAGAACAAAGAAAAGAAGCAAAAAAAAAACTAATTCACTGATGATGTCATTTGCAACTTCAGAGCATAGTTATATGTCTCATATCACCTGATTTCCTCCAAAAAAGCATGTTTCAGGAGTCCAGGCAAGTCTCTCATAGCAGGAAGTTTAGGAGTTACATTGTAGACAAGCACTCATCAAGTAATCAAGTCAGGCTAGTTACTGAGGCGGGGGTGGTGCTGAAAGGAAAGGAAAGAAACAGAGAGAGATTGTTTCCTTTTAGGTTTTTTTTTCTTTTTGACACAGTCTCACCCAGCCTGCAGTACAGTGGTGCAATCTTGGCTCACTGCAACCTCAGCCTCTGGGTTCAGGTGATTCTCCTGCTTCAGCCTCTTGAGTAGCTGGGACTACAGGCACGCACCACCATGCCAGGCTAAATTTTGTATTTTTAGTTTTTTTTATTTGTTTGTTTGTTTATTTATTTACTTATTCAGAGGCAGAGTCCTGCTCTGTTGCCAGGCTGGAGTGCAGTGGTGCAATCCTGGCTCACTGCAACTTCCGCCTCCTGGGTTTAAGCAATTCTCCTGCCTCAGCCTCCCAAGTAGCTGGGACCACAGGCGTGTGCCACTACGCCCGGCTAATTTTTGTATTTTTAGTAGAGATGGGGTTTCACCATGTTGGCCAGGATGGTCTCGATCTCTTGACCTTGTGATCCGCCCACCTCAGCCTCCCAAAGTGCTGGAATTACAGGCGTGAGCCATCGTGTCCGGCCAATTTCGTATTTTTAGTAGAGACAGGGTTTCACCATGTTGGTCAGGTTGGTCTCCAACTCTTGACCTTGTGATCTGCCCACCTTGGCCTCCCAAAGTGCTGGGATTACAGGCATGAGCCACTGCGCCTGGCCCCTTTTAGATTTTTATTATGAAAAATTTCAGATGTGCACAAAAGAAGTGTGATAAACTCTTCATATACCTATCACTCAGACTCAACAATCCAATTACACTGAGTTGGAAAAAAAACTAAAAAAGAGGAAATGTGCACTTTGGAATCTAGAACAGACCACAGTTAAATTTAGCTTTACTGGCACCTTGCTTCAATTTGATTAATCAACTAATCAGAGTTCGTTTAACTTGGGTTTCCTTAACGGCATAAAGAAAGGCTGTTCACAGCTCATCATCTGCATCAAGTGTATAGGTTCCGGTGGAAGGTTCAGGCTCTGTTCCAGATTCTGTGTCTTAGCTGATTTATTTTTAATCAAGTTTTGGGGAACAAAAGGGCTTTATATTATTTTTAATTAATTAATTTTTTTTATGAGACAAAGTTTTACTCTGTCTTCCAGGCTGGAGTACAGTGTGTGACCATAGCCCCACGCAGCCTCGAAACTCCTGGGCTCAAGTAATCCTCCTGCCTCAGCCTCCTGAGTAACTGGAACTACAGATGCACACCACCACACCTGACTGCTTTATGTTACTTTCTACATTTTCTCAACAAAAGTGAGACTTAACATTTTCTAGCTCTAAGATCTGCTGTGTTTAAGATAGTGAGCAGGGTATCTGTGTGAAGAGGATCACTGGGCAAGGAGATCTCTGAACCTGGGTCCAGGGAAGAGTTCTGGGACTGGAGATCTGTTAGAAGTGACAGTCTATAAAAGTGGGAGACGATGGCCGGGCGCAGTGGCTCAAGCCTGTAATCCCAGCACTTTGGGAGGCCGAGGCGGGTGGATCATGAGGTCAAGAGATCGAGACCATCCTGGTCAACACAGTGAAACCCCGTCTCTACTAAAAATACAAAACATTAGCTGGGCATGGTGGCGCATGCCTGTAATCCCAGCTACTCAGGAGGCTGAGGCAGGAGAATTGCCTGAACCCAGGAAGCAGAGGTTGCGGTGAGCCGAGATCGTGCCATTGCACTCCAGCCTGGGTAAGGAGAGCGAAACTCCGTCCAAAAAAAAAAAAAAAAAAAAAAAAGTGGGAGACGATGTCAAGAAAAAGGGTCGGGAAGGGGAGTAAGGCCTGGGTACAGCTCTGTGGAACAGTCACACTCAGGTCAGAGGAGGGACACGCAAGAGCTCAGGCATGACAGAGTCCTGGAGGAAGGGAAATAAAAGGGTCGACCGCATCAAGAGAGTGGACGGTGCTAAAGTCCTTCAGGTGAGGCAGGAGAAAGGTTTGGCACAAAGGCTGAGGGACAGAGAGAAAAACCTAATTGCAGCCAGGCGCAGTGGCTCACCCCTGTAATCCCAGCACTTTGGAAGGCTAAGCTGGGTGGATCACCTGAGGTCAGAAGTTCAAGACCAGCCTGGCCAAAGTGGCCAGACCTTGTGTCTACTAAAAATATAAAAAAATTAGTTGGACCTGGTGGTGCACACCTGTAGTCCCAACTACTTGGGAGGCTGAAACATGAGGATCGCTTGAACCCCGGAGGTGGAGGTTGCAGTGAGTGGAGATTGCACCACTGCACTGCAGCCTGGGCAACAGAGCAAGAATCTGTCTCAAAAAAAAAAAAGAGAAAAATCTAATTTCTATCCAGCTCTCCCCACCCCTCCCTCCTTGCTTCCTGCTGATCCTTTTCAATTCTGGAATCCCTGGCCTCTTGGTCCCACAGAGACACTTTTCCCCCAGTTCCCTATCATCTCCTCACCCCCGTTCCTCCTGGACTAGCTAATTCCTAGTCATTGGCCAGATCCCAACCTGAAAATCTCTTCTTGACCTTTCAGGCCAGATCTGACCCCACAGTGACACACTCTGCACTTCTCCATCCAACATCTCGGTTATCTTTGTGTATTTTCATGACTCTTTGACTGATGCCCAGTTAGCTCCATGAGGGAAGAGAGCAAGTCTATTAACAGGTGCCTAACTCAGGGTCTGGCCCAGGTGTGTTCAATAAAGAGTTTTTGGCTGGATGAATGAATGAATCGATGAAGGTAAGTAGGTGTTGACATAGTCTCAGGACTCAAGGCCAGATATTCTTTCTGGAACTGCTCAGAAGTTCTAGTTTATCATCTGCAGCTGCCATTGACAACTCTGGGTAACATCAACCATTGTGTCCCCTACTGCTGCTCCCGTGGCCAGGGTCCTGCCTAGGCCAGGCCAGCTTCGTGCTCTCCAGCCTCAGCCCGGCGCTCTTAGCATCAGACCATCTTGGGAAGAGATGCTGGGACCAATGGGGGGAAGCCAGACTGGAATGCGTGGGAGGTGAGGAACGGAGATTGTGGATGCAGACAGCTTTTTCACAAGTTTGGCTTTGAAAGGGAAGAGAGAATTAGGAGGTAGCTGCAAGGAGATTTGGGGTCAAAACAGGTTTTTTGTTTTTTGTTTTTTTTTAATTTCAAGAGAGATTTAAATATGTTGAAATGTCAGCGGGCAGGTTCTGGTCAGGAGAGGTTGAGTAAATAAGAATGGGAAAGAATACTGAGGCGAGGAGGGGCCGCTAATGAGCACCTGGATGGTAATTAGCAGGCTCCTTCTGCCTCAGGCTTGGCTGAGACCCCAGCCAGGCGGGGCAGCCCCTCCCGATCCCAGCGTTGGATGCTAGACCACCTATGCAGGGCTGGGAGGGAAATTTCTGGGAGCTGGTAGTTCTGAGTCACCGGATTGACCACCCACATCCAGCTTATAAAGCGGCTGGACAGGCCGAGAGAGAGAGAGTCAGAGACTAGGAAGATTTCTTTATTTTTAATTTTTATTATTATTGTTATTTATTATTACTTTTTTAAGACAGATTCTCACTCTGTCATCAGGCTGGAGTGCAATGGCCCAATCTCAGCTCACTGGAACCTCTGCCTCCTGGGTTCAAGCGATTCTCCCACCTTAGCCTTCCGAATAGCTGGGACTACAGGCGCACGCCACTACGCCCAGATAATTTTTTTGTATTTTTAGTAGAGATGGGGTTTCACCATGTTGGTCAGGATGGTCTCAATCATCCTACCTTGTGATCTGCCCGTCTCGGCCTCCCAAAGTGCTGGGATTATCGGCGTGAGCCACCACACCCAGCCTAAATTATTTTTATTATTTTTGAAATGGAGTTTCGTTCTTGTTGCCCAGGCTAGATTGCAGTGACGCATCTCGGCTCCCTGCAACCTGCACCTCCCATGTTCAAGCTATTCTCCTGCCTCAACCTCCGGAGTAGGTAGGATTATAGGCGCCTGCCACAACGTCCGGCTAATTTTGTATTTTAAGTAGAGACAGAGTTTTACCATATTGGCCAGGCTGGTCTCAAACTCCTGACCTCAGGGGATCCACCCACCTCAGCCTCCCAAAATGCTGGAATAACAGGGGTGAGCTACGGTGCCCAGCGGAAGCAGACTTCTTTAGCAGAGGCTGGTACTGTGGAGCCCACCCCCAGCCACACCCATGGGGGAGGGGAAGGTGCACCCTGCTTTCCTCAGGTCAACTGAGGGGGACAATGGAGAGCGGGAACAGCGGCCCCTGGAGCCAGGGAGACACAGGGATGTCTGACTCACACCTAGAAATCTACAGGCATGTGTGTGTATGTGTTGTCTGCCTGTAAGTCCACAGGGATTTGGTTTTTTTTTTTTTTTTAATTTTTTTTTTTTTGTTGTTTTGTTTTGTTTTGTTTTGTTTTTTTGTTTTGTTTTTTTTTTTGTTTTTTTGAGACGGAGTTTCACTCATGTTACCCAGGCTGGAGTGCAATGGCACGATCTCGGCTCACCGCAACCTCCGCCTCCCGGGTTCAGGCAATTCTCCTGCCTCAGCCTCCTGAGCAGCTGGGATTACAGGCACGCGCCACCATGCCCAGCTAATTTTTTGTAGCTTTAGTAGAGACGGGGTTTCACCGTGTTGACCAGGATGGTCTCGATCTCTTGACCTTGTGATCCACCCGCCTCGGCCTCCCAAAGTGCTGGGATTACAGGCTTGAGCCACCGCGCCCGGCTTTAATTTTTAATTTAAAAAAAAATTGAGATGGGATATCTTGCCATGTTGCCCAGGCCAATCCAGAACTACTGGACTCAAGCGATCCTCCCACCTTGTCCTCCCAAAGTGATGGGATGACAGGCGTGAGCCACCGCACCCTGCGTACGTACTCTTCCCTCAGAATTACATTTTTGGGATTCATCTATGTTTCATGTATCAGTAGTTCATAATATTACACTATTAAATTTTATTTTATTTTTTGAGACAGAGTCTTGCCCTGTCACCCAGGCCGGAGTGCAGTGGCGTGATCTCAGCTCACTGCAGCCTCTGCTTCCCGTGTTCAAGCAATTCTGCCTTAGACTCCCTAGTAGCTGGAATTACA